AACGATTTCGAGCCATATCATCCAAGGTCTCTAACCATCGGTTGCTATCATCTCGTGGTCCCTAACCAGGTAGTCTACACCTACCAACATGATTCAGACCACTTGTCAGTGACTTCATGGACTTGTGCCATGTTTTGGTTTGGCCGCCCCTAGCTTTCTTCCAACCTACTCCTATACCACTGAACATAGCACGTCGAGGCAGTCGGTGGTTGGGCATACGTAATACGTGTCCTAGTCATCTCAACTGATGAAGTTTCACTACTTCATCAATTGATTTGCCATCCTTACCTAGTACCCGTTTCCTAACAACTGCATTAGTTACTCAGTGGAAATAGACAAAATGTAAAGTAATTTAAGAAGAATTCTTCAACGATTTTCTTTTCAAAAAATGGTGTTAAAAGTGGAAATTCGCTTTACATACTATATGATACTGATCAACATACATCTTATAATATTTTTTTAAAAATCTAATCTCCATTACCTACCGACCGATCTTTATATCAAATAATAAATCCGTTCGTATTAGCACTAATACCTACACACACGTTAAATGAATTTGTGGTTATCTGAGTTCGGTACTAGGTGGTGTTTGAACTGAAATGTACAGGGTTCGAGTCTCACTGCGAATATCAGCAATAGAATGCAGGAACATCCTGGTGACGATTCAAAAATAAGGTGAAACTTTTGTCCTGGATTCTACTGCTACCCATTATTTGACTTCAGTACTTAAATTATTTGCAATCATCAGCATGAACTAAATGTTAATCATAGATATTCACCTGCCACAGTAATTGTATACGTATTAACATAACGAAAACAAGTATGGTAGCAGTAGTAGTAAAATGATTTTAAGGTACTCTTCAGTTCAAACAATGAAATATGTAATTAGTTACATGTATACAAAGGCATTCATCTCTAAATTAGTATTCAGTATTAGTCATCTCAATTGCATACTTGGATAATCGATTAAGTGACTCATTTAATTGTCCAATCTAGACATATGTCTAACATACTTGTGAATTCATGGCTTGCACAGACCTGTCTCATTATTTATTCATTATAAAAAACTCATAACTATCCGCGATTTTCCAACAAATTGGATTATACATAATTTATATACTTTTTATTTACATCTCTATGTGAACGCCGTGAACGATCAATAGACTACATTAGAATATGTAATGGCGTCAGTCTAAGTCTCTCCACCGACAATATTGGCTGAGATATATCCAGTAATTTTGACCATTCTTCGCATTTAATTAGTCGATAAATGCTATTGTAACCTTTATCAGGGATTTTATTTCAATCTATGACTTGAGCTATATTTGTTTTCTCAATCCGAAATGTTTGGTTGCACCGCTTTGATATGTTCATGGAAAGCAGTTTTGTATACATCTAAATGCTTGGAATGCAGCAAATACCCAATAAATAGAACGAGAAATGAGTGAAAATGTTATGTAAAACAGACATAGTGAACATTGTAAACGTTGTCAATGACCATAGTCAAAGCATCTGTTTTTAAATTCACTTGTGATCCCCCGTGCTAAAAAAAGTCCAGATTGAGTAATTGTCCTCTTTATACTAATTAACTGATATGTATTGAATATTTCTTTCACTCGTAGGGGGTTAGTAAAACCTGTCTGATACACAATAAGCGCTCTTCCATGAAGCGGCACCCCTATCGAATTATAGGTCTATGACAGGGAATAGAGATTTGATAAAATGACCCTGATACAGTTGAAAACAGAATTATGTGATGGATTATTTTCCTTTTGAGATTGTAAATCATGTACTGCCACAATTATCAAACAGAAGAACTGTATTTTGGGAGTCCATTAGTAAGTTAAATGGTCAAGCATAGTTGAGAAATTCACACGATAGTATATCCAAGCATTCAGATGTTAACATACTGGTGATCAAAGTTATATATCAAATGAACTTAACAAAAATTTATTGTTTCAGTGTTACAGGCTTATTTAGCTGACAACAGTATATGCTTTGGTATAAGAATTAGATAAGAAGCTTCTAATACAGACATGGTATGCTGATGAAACTACTTCATAATCTTCTGGAAAAGTCTATAAGGTTCGATAATGTGAAGCTAGTTCATTGTGAATCTAACCTCTTCATTTAGTCTGGGCAGTTGATCAAAATCCCTATACGGTACAAAGTCCACTAACTATTTAATCCGATTAATCAAGTTAGAAATTTTTTTTTTATAATAAATAAGTACTGGAAATCTCCTACTTTATGAATCCAAATATCACCCGTATATATTTCAGACATTCTAATAAGTAGTGACTAGAGAATTTCATTCATTTTTAATGTGAAATATGTATCCCTAAAACTATTAATTAACATTAGTTATATATCATGAATTGACTGAAGTTACAAATGTAAACCATTTAATATCAAGTTATTGGTTTAAAAAGATCATGTTTACATCAAAATCTGAAAATCTTTAATTCAATCTTCTGTATGATAGTGAATAAATACGTTTACAGAGTTTTAAAGTACAATTAAATAGTTATCTATTGTTACCTGATTCTTGGTCATTTCCCAATTAATGTCAATTCGTAAAGAGGATTATCAGAAAATCGAAAGTAAACAGTTTTATTTCAAAAATCGAATTATTATCTAAAAATGAATTCACTTTTTCAAGTCCTATTTTTTCATTTAAAATTTCTATTTGTTATTAAGTTAGTAGTTAGTGTGTAAGTTGGTGTATCAAGAGAAAGAAGCAAGAAGAAGAAGAAGAAGAAGAAGAAGAAGAAGAAGAAGAAGAAGAAGAAGAAGAAGAAGAAGAAGAAGAAGAAGAAGAAACAGAAATGTGATATTGATCATTGATGAAAAATAAAATATTTCAATTATGGCAAAAAGGAACTAAGTATGATAGTCACATGTAAGATTCAATTAGACTTATTTTCTCTTTTCAGTAAATGTTAGGGAATTTTAATGTTTAGAATGCTTTTAACAATATGTCTTTTCAAGTGGTTACTGAAACTAGTGAGTTGAACGCTTAGTCATTAATCCAAATAACAGTTAGTTTTTAATGATAGAAATTAGATTCGAAGTGGTTATATATATCACAAGGATATCCACATAATGTTGTTAAATGAGTTTTCATTAAAGTTAAGATTATCCAGGGTATGGTAGAAACAATTAATTTCCATCTATAAAGCACACTCACTTAATACAAGGATTTCTTAATTACACATTAATTGTTGTATCTTCTCTATCAGTCAAGTCAGTAGTTGTTTAACTAAGTTCAGTCCATGATCTTGATAAAGAAAATTTGATAATCTTTATGTTATTATTAATCACTTACCCACTGGAGACTCACTTTCAGATATGGTTCCAGAAGTTCTAGTGAGATACTGTAACCAGTGAAATCTAGATCGGGTGTGAGACAATTATCGACCGAAGCCAATGAAAGATGGTCAAATAATATGGCGAATTGATTGAAGTTAGATATATACATCCTTGAATTTTATCTCAGTGGTCTAGAGGTTAAGCGCTTCTAGTAAGACAAAAGGTCCTGGGATCGTTGGTGAACACTGCTGAATAGTCCCGTACTAAAACGAAATAGCTGTTCAGTGCTTCCTAATTTTCGATGTTTATTTAAACAAAACCAGACTGTGATATAAAATATAAGTTTAAAATCTACAAAATAGAATAGAATGTATGCTCTTAATATACTAATTAAGCTCAACTAAGAACCTCATACAAAGTACAACGTATCAGTTAGTTTAGTTTGTATAACTGATTCATAGAATGAAGAGAGTATGATTTTTGAGTGTAAATCTACTACCTAACAATGTAACCTTCTTCATAAAAAAATCTTTAGTGTTTTGATACAATATAACATTAAATATTGAAAATATCAAAGGTGTATTCACGTATACCTCTATTCACCTTGTGTACAAAAATAAATACTGATATCAATGAAATAAGTGTGACGTCATTCTATTCTAATTATGTTGTTTCTATTTTTTGTTTTTCTTGAAAGAAACACTTTGAAATTACCTGATTTGTATTTCACTTGTAAACCGATTTGATAAGGAAATGGTTAACTGATCAACTTGATTAACTAAATCTTTAAAGTTCTGATTACAAAAGATATCGGTGATTATTTTAAATAGTAGGAGAGTAAACTATGATGAACTAAATATTAGTAAAAGCACTTATTGGTTCGGATTAATTGATCTAATTTCTAGGCTATATATGTCAGACAGTAACCTCATTTGGAGTACCATTGACAACTAGGTTAGTCTTTGGAATAAATCGCAAATTGATTAAGGTTTGGGTTGTATCACTGGACAATGATGCAATAGTTTTAATGTTTAAGCGTTCGTCGAGAGACTTAAAACTCCCAAGTTCAATTCATGAAAGAATATTTGGTATGTAATGTTAAAAAGTAAAACACGAAGGAAGATAGGTGTGTCATTCCTCAATTGTTTTAATAATATCCCGAATGTGATCAATTTGTGATGAATACAGCCTATAAAATCATAATAATAATTAAAAGAAATATTTCCCAATAGATAAGAATCATTTTTGATTGATCAGTCAAGGTGATTTATACAATTTTCAGATTGTATTCCAACATTAATTGACATTAATTAGAAGATTATTAATAACTAGGAGGGATTCTTGATTTGAAACAAGATTGAAACTTCCCAAAAGTTCACATTTACTATTTACAATGAAATCAAATTTTAAAAAGAAAAACTTAAGATTTTATGGTAAGTACAATAAGAGTTAGTTATGTTTATTTGTTTAAATGATCATTGATAAGCTTTTTATTCTTTAATGTTTGAGATTGATTAGATACCTTATCACACATAATTGAATACATTTAATAAAGATCCATTTAGGTAAAGATTACAATAAAATCTATATTCAGTAATCAAAAACAATTCATCATCACATTAACTATACAAGCGTTCTGAATAAAGATGAATCATACGAAAGTCTATTTCTTAGTAGTTACAGAACGTTGTATGTAGGAATACAGCTCAATAAAGATAATTCATTTATTTAGAACATGATCTTTAAATAGTGCACTATAAGTGATGGATACATCATTTTATTAATATATACTTGTATCTACTGATTTATTCATCTTTTGTTCATGCTGTATGTTTTTAATTTCTTTGAAATTTTAACCGTGATGATGTAAGATGATCAAGAATTTCAAGAATATCTTCTATGGTTAATTGACATTTATTAAATGATTCTTGGAAATAATCCAAATTTTCATGATTTATTGTTGAAATAATTCGAGTCAGTGTTTTATCGGTTGGGGTTGGTGCTGGCCCACCTGGTTGTTCTGTGGTTTCTTCACGTGTTAGTGAAGAACTTGTCAAAAAGTTATCATTGGCTTCCGTTATTCTCCACGACATGGTCACACACAATATTAATAATATCTTTATTAAATCCAGTTGTTATATACGTATATAGTTATGTATTATTCCGATAGAATGAAGTTGAGAATTTCCCTTTTCTCGGAAGTAATGTCGTATGAAATTGTCGGAACGGCTTTTTTTCTTTCCAGTCAACTAATGATACTTTTTTATTGTTCGAATTTATTCGAAAACTGATTGGTTGATGTATTGGCACATACAAACACACACGAAAGTAATTATGTATGAGTTCAGTACCACTCATTATTTAATTAGGTAATTAGTATATAATTGATCTTTAGTTAGAAGTGCATAATTCCAGTATACTTGTATCATATGATAATAAAATACGTTTAATTAATTTAAGGATAGTTTAACTTATGTATTGAAAAAATAAATTACTTCTAACTAGGCATGCACACTAAATTTCATCTAGTTTTGTTTAAAAGTTAAGGCTTTTCCCAATGTTAATATCAACATAGAAAAGTCCTAAATAAGATGAGACAAGCATCCTGTGTCCTACTACTAGTCCAAATCCATCTTTTCCCTAAAACATTTGACAAAATGGCCGTATGGAACCAATCCACAGTGAACGCACAAAAGCCTACAAAGATTGATCGAAATTCAGTAAAGATTAACAACAAAATGGTAAATCCGTTATGATTTATGTCCCTGTGAATTATTACGCGGCAAATTCGCCAACGCGAATACCGACTTATATGACCTTGTTCTTGTGCTAAACCAATGACACATCAAAATAGCACTAGTAGCCACGCGTCAACTCTGAATCCTTATTGGTCCTTCTCGCCTTGCCCTGCCCGTTGAGACCAGAACACAATCTCAACCTCCACTGTATAAAAAGTATATTTCAGACATACGCAGTTTATATACAAGCAAATTAAACCGCATCATATCACAAAACAAAAAAATAACAATTATACAAATGAGTGCAAAAGTGGCTCTGAGTGTGAGAGACTACAACAAATAGATTACTAGCTTTCTTACGCCTGTTACTCCTCGTGGAGGAGAATAGGCTGCTCACCAGCTGTTATATCTTAGTGACAATTAAATTATGGGTAACTTCTGGGAACTATTAATGGGCTAATATTATATATATTCTTATTCAGTAACTCGATTATGTATATCTATATTTCTCTTATTATAAGCTTTATTTTTACCTATAGACTATTATGATACGATTTACTATTCTTAAATTGTACTCAGTTTATTAATTAGTCTCCCACATTCTCAGCCACTTTTTGGCTTGGCCATATTCGTAGGTTTGATTGTCTTCATTTGTCCTTGTATTCATTCTGATTATATCGGTCGGTTAACTGAGTGACTTCTCGGCTATTTCAATGTGCCCATTGATTGCTATGTTATCCATAGTTGTTACTTGTTTCCGTTGGAAGATTACTGTCTCTGAGGATTAAAGTTTCATCAACTATTATATTTTGCTGATAATTCATACTCTGACTGATTTGCAATGCAGATATTTATCTCAACGAATCGGCTTCCTGAATTTACTATTCGATATCTTCATTCACTCGATCTACTAGAGTGAATTTATTAGAATAGTAGTCTTTCACTTCTCTTTAAAAAATAGACCGTGTCTAAATATTAATACACAATTACACTAGAAGCACGAGTCAATAATGTATAAACAATATTGAATAAATAGAAAATAAATGAAGCTTCAACCTGTTTAGTGTTTGTCATTTTGTTTTTTGGTATTGATTATTTCCTGTGTAAAATTGTAAACCATTTTGTTTTGCTATAAAGTAATTTTACAATTGTAACTTGTACCAATACAGTTGCTATTTTGCATTTTCTGTGTCGGTAATTGATAATGATGGACAATAATAACCAGGTCATAATCTCGTTGGTCAATAAATGACCTAGAAAATGTTTTCCTTGAAATTATTTATATATTTCAGATGAATTTTAGTTGTCTATTTTTGTGCTAAACAGTTTGCGTATAGGCGTTTTATATTTTATTAGGGAAAAAAGAGAAGGATTCTGCTGCTTGTTTGTTGTCTCTTCTAGCACCATATCTGTTCATTTGAAGCCATTATGTTATTGACTCAATTTTAGTGAGTAATCTCTGCTCGGCCACACAATTCACATTAGTGTGTGCTGATTATTACTTAATTATGAATATAGAATTTACATTATAGTTATTCACGATAACATTGTTGTAATATACAGTGAACCCTGGACAATCGTTTCATTTTAGTTTAGAATAACTTATGAAAATTGCGTACCGAAAAATTCTTATGAAATTGAACCAGACACTTACGGCCAGCATCAGCTCTTCATGAAATTATCTGAAAAATAAACAAAAGTTTCAAAAAACTATTCTCTTTTTAGTAACGCTTAAAATTTAAATATGATTTGTGAGGTGCTAGTGAAGGGTCGTGACCTTAGTATTCAATCAAGTCAGTAAACCACTGATGCGATTTGATGTGGATACCTTGGTATCACAAAACTTACAGAAATTGAAAATATGAACCATTGGATATTGATTGAATGAGATGAATTTATGGCGCTTGCCACGAGATTCAAAATGTCTTGTATTTGTATTCGTCTGAGGACATGATAACAGATTGCTGAATAGTTCCTAACTAGAACGTGGTAACTTCCTAGTATTTCTTAGTTTGTCAGCAGACTTTCAGTGTGTAAATTAATTCGATTGCAAAAATATCTTAACATGTTAGGAAATTTATGTATAAACATAGATTTATATAATGTCGTGAATAAATGCCAAGTATCCTATATAGCGTCATGTTAAATAACTTTCTGCTTTTATCTTAAAATAATTACATGAAAGTGCATATCACGTCGAATGTTATATCCTACTTCAGACTTGTTAGATGGATCTTGACGCACATAGCAAAATTCAAACAAAGGGTCAATTACTTTAAACAATACAGTGTTATTCAACAAGTTACTAAACCACAAAATCTATCGTGTTCAAAGCTATATATTACTGATCGTAAAGGTTGTTATTTTCATCCTGTCGATATTCAGAAATGAGTTGATCAGTTTCATTCTATATTCAAGTAAAGACTAACCAACTTTAATACCGATCAACAATAGAAAGATATAAACCCCCTAAAATTAATAGTATTTATCTAAAGTTTATTAAAATTCTTAAAAGGATCTTTCCACTATCCATTTAGTGAAAAACAGTACATTTTTAACTAACAATGAATACAATTTTGGACAGAAGATAAAACAAACATATATCAAACAATGTTACATAATTTTCCAATAACTGGGTTTCACAAATTACAAAAAGAAAGTTATGGTAAGACTTTTTTTATAGTGCAAAACGAAGTCAGTCCACTCTGTTTATTACAATGTTTTTTTTAATATCAAATCAGAAGTCAACTTGTTCTAGATTGCCTAGTTCTTGTAGTATAGAAGGAAATTGTTTTCAAAACTATGTTTAAAATATTATACCCTTTATTGTATAAAATGAATAATCAACTCGACATCATGCGATAAGTTCAGTATGTCATATAAATGAATATATACTTCGGGTTTATAGAATTATATAAATATATATTGCGCAGTTAAATTTACATTCATCAACATCATGATCAATTATTATCAAGAAACAATTAATTAAGTAATTTGTGATCATTACTACCGAGATTAATGAAGGAACAAGTCATACAAAAACCAGAAAACTGGAATCTTCTCTTGTAAACAACAAGTTTATAGTCAATAAAAAAGTTCAATTTGAAAGGTGTCTAACATGAGATCAATCTTACTTTTGATGATAACAATTTCACGTTAAAACAAGAAATGTAAAATTGAATTATTATTTTCATTTGTTCTAAACATTAAAAACAACAGAAGGAAACTATGAACTGTAATGTATCGAAATTCACTGCACTTCGACAAAATCCTGAATCTTAATATGGACAATTCTATATTTTAGTGGAATCGTTTTTTTTCGAGATGGATGATTTAGGCATAAACCATTCGCCGTGTTTTTTTAAGACAGTATTATCGATATGTTGATCATTTGTGGTGAAATTTTCATAGCTTACTTCTATCTAAATTTCGTGTTGTTGTTTAGAAAGACGATAAAAGCTTCAAGATTAAACCGTCCACCTGAGAGAGAGTGATTTCATCAAAATCATCCACCTGAAGTTTAAATCTTCTTCACTATCGCACAATTCAACATTTAATATAATAATATACACACAAACATTAAGCAACAAAACTATAATAGTGTAGTAAATGTACAACACGAAGAAATGAAAACAAACTGATAATTATTACGTACCAGAACAACAGCTCATGACAAAAATCCATCAAAATCTCTCTCAGCCATAGATACAGAGAGGTATGTAAGTTTACTCAGTATGACAAACATTCTACAGCTTGCAATCAAACTATTGAGGCCTTCTAAAATCAGTTTGTTTCACAATATAACAAGATTTTTTAGACATACTAGCCTATCTTCGTCATTCACCTCATTTTTGTGAGTAAAAATTAGATATCAAGCTTCACAACATGACGTATTTCATGGCACTGGATATTGATACGAATTCGGTCGAAAAACTTTTGAAACCATGAATAGAAGTAGTACAAACAAGGTTAGAATAATTTTAGATTGGAACATGTCGTTCAATAATCAACAAATATAGTGATGTATACCCAGACTATCAGTTAATCAGAAAACTATTACAAACGCAGACAGTGAAGATATCAATGAAAAGACTGACAGTAAAATTACTATTAACTAACAACTGGGATATTTCCATACAGACATCAATAACACAACTTGAGCGAAGACACTACTTTTCAATTAGTTCCTCTCTTCTCTTTACACCCATATTATTTCACATTTACGCTTTGATTTTTTCATCTTTATTGTTGCAGAATCATTTCGAATAATTAACTGGTCCCCAAAACCTTAACTTTAGTCTCTACTCTTATGTAATCACTAAAAATAATTGACTGACTCAAACATATATTTACAATTACGTATTTTCCATTTTTATTATTGCGTAATCAGTCTTAATAGCAAACTAACTTACATTCCAGTTCATTAGTATAATTATTTATTCAT